TCCTACAAATTCCAAGTTATTCTCAGAAATTCCTAGGAATTTTTGGGAATTTTAAGGAATTTTCAAGGTGAGTATATTTCAGTTGGAATTCCTAGGAATCCTGACTGCAAAACTACAAATGATCTACAATACAGTCAGTCTACTCCTGCAGTTCACCACAGCCTTTAATCTTGGGAACCTAATGCAGCAAAAATGTGAAATTATTAATTGATACATAGCACATTTCATGATCCTGCAATTCCATACAGATTTAATTTGCAAAAGAGGCTGTTCAAAGTCCTGTATGACCTGTTTCGCTTGCTATGTAAGTGAAGGATGGAAAATGAAAAAACTGAACATTCCCAAAACTACTGGCTGAACTTACCTGATGAAAAGCTTTCTTCAGCGAATGGAATAGCTCCATCTGTTGGGGAAACTTTTCTGTCAGCATCAAAAGAATAATAAACATTAGAACAAACTTTTCCACATAAACCATGAATAACTCTTGCTATGTCTAAGTGGTCATGTTCACCATAGATCTAAAAATATTAAACCTAAAATTATTTAATCGATTTATTGGTATTTGTTTTTTCTTCTTATATTTGAAAATACGAGAGAGCACAAAATAAAGATTTGTTGTCGTCAACTGTTGAAGAAGCTAACTAGTAAAAAAACTGGCATGTATCAAATAAGAATACACTAAAATCATGTTGTACTGTATTTGAGAATTTTTGGGTTTTTTTTTTTTCTCAGGTAAGGTTTTATGGATTCCACTGTTATATATGAAAAATTGAGGTCAGCTAATTGACCTCCTTTAGAGACAACCACTTAAGCTTTGGCAAACAAAAATTTAACCATTGATTTACACACCTTTTAAATCCCTGACAAGTTTGATGATTATTGGGGAGGCATCTGTTGTTACATCGTCGAATGGAAATATGGTTGCCATTCTCTCCAGTAACCTTCTCAGTGCCTCTTTTTCCATTCCAGTGGAATTGCCCCCAGTCTCTCTTTTGTCTCTTACTTCAGAGTCGACTACAATGTCGGTGAATTGCTCCATGGGGGTGTAAATGCGGTAGCAGGCACTGTGAGCTGGGGAGTCATTTCGCCAATCTCCATCAATACCTCCTCCACCACTGGCGCAGCACAGTGCTTCTGGAAACGCATTAATATGTTTCTTCCCACTATATTTAGGCCAAGGGCTTTACAAAGCAGGCTGACTTTCTCGTAGTTGTTGCCCAAGATGATAATCCCTGCAGGCAAAAAGGAATCATTTAGGTAAATTGATTCCTTTTTTGAGTAAGCACCTTGGAGTACACCCACTTTTTGCTGTGGCCATTGGTACATTTTGAGAGCAACTCCAGATTCCCACTACCAGTCTTGGTCTCATGGGTCAATGGGCAACTGCACACATGCCCATCAGTCTCCACTGTGCAGTTAAACCCAGCCAGCTCCAGTAGTTTTTCCGCTGAAACAATGGAGCTACTTCTTTCATGAAGAACTGCAAATTCTTTTAATTCATTACCAATGTTTGTCAGTTTGGCCAATCAATTTTCTAAGTCAAGTAACAGCTTCTCCCTGTTGTCAATAACTTTCTTAGAAGTAGATGGCTCTTCATTTGGTGCTGACTCAATGGCTATACCACAATCTCTTGGAGCTTGTACATCATCATCCACAATAACAGCTTCCTCCTCAGTAAGAGGTTGTAAAGTTGGTAAGGACATTTGCGACACGCTGACGATATCTTCCACCATGGTGATTGTACACTCATCATCCTCAACACTTATCTCCATGACTTCACAAACCAACTTGGTTTCATCATCATTGTCAAGTTCCAATTCATGACTGTAAGCAAATGAAGAAAAAAGCAAATTGTGTAACTTGTTTGTAGAAACCCTTCCTCATTCCTACATTCATAATTTACAGTAGCTGTTTTGATTTGCTCTTAACTACTACCCGAAAAAACGAAAACTTCTTTAACAATTTAAAATACTGACAGTAGGTATAATAGAGAGTTCAGCAAAATAGCAACTGCACTTTTCTACAATTGCATCCTACCAAAGAAAATAAAAATGGACATGAACATAGATCAAGGCACAATTTTAGGCAAAACAACATCATCAACAACAATAGTTTATCTGTATCTCAAATAAACATAAGTATTACGGTATATAATGTATTTGACTGAAAATAGGTAACAGGCCATCAAAAACAACAAGTGATGGTTTACTCTGTTTCCAGCCAAAATATAGCCGTACCTGTTTGTTAAATGCTGATCTCCACTAAACACACCAAAGCTGTCAGTGCTACTTGTGGAGTTGTCAGAACCAACTCAGGCAGCATAATCACCATCATCATCATCATCATTATTGTCTCCGTCTTGTCGCAACACGGAAAAGGGATTTCCAACAACTGTGCCAAAGGAGATGTTTGCTCCCCGCAACTGAACACTCTGCATGGGTGCACATTCATCAACAGAGGTCACACCTGTTACATCAACTTTCCTAGAGACAAGACAAAATTTGTTACTATGTACTAACATGAAAATATTGCAACTGTTTATTTGGAAATAATCAACACACCAGTAGCAACCAAGCTTAGAACATTACTTATTATATAGCTAGCTCTGTGAGTGGGCAAGATGAACCAAATCCTGCACTGTGATTGGCAAACTGAGCAGGCAAGATAGACCTATCTTACCTGCTCAGGACTACCCGCCACGTCCCGCAAGAAAAATTTCCCCAAAAGCCACCTAATAAATCCTGTTTTTTTTTCTTTGTTTGGTAAAGATCGCTTCATATTGAACTCATTCATTTTTTTGAGGGTTAATGGACCTCGACTCTGTCTCGGTCCATACACACAAAAAAAAGAACTTGGCCAATATCCAGCCATCTTGACTTGACACTTGGTCAATAGCCCATATATATTTTATAGTAAACCAATAAGCTTATAAAAATAATAACTCAAACAATTCGACGAGTCACTCTAGCCTTCTTTAGTCCATACTTTCACGACAACATTTATACAAAAAAAAAAGCTTTAGCAAAATGACCTTATATGTAAAAAGAGACGGACTTACGAGTTTGAGAGGCTTGGAGAATCAAGAGGACGCTCCCGACGAGGCATCAGGAACAGGGGTCGAGCTTAGAGGTGCAATAGAGCCTGAAAAAGACAGAGGCACCAAGGCTTTTTCAACATGTTCTAATGTAATAGATCAAGTTGTAAAAGAAAGAAAAAAAGGGCTGTTAAGACTACAAGAAGAGAATAACGAAAACAAATTTCAACACTTTTTATGATCCGAGATAAAGGGAGACACAATTTCGCAACGTTTTACAGAGTAAACACTCAGAAGCTATGAATTTTGCTCTTCCGCAAGTAAGAGAAGAGCCCATCTCAAGAATATTTTTTCGTATCAATGCCTAAAAAGGAATTCCCAATGTTTTTGAATGTCTACAAAACGATTTCTACGTTCCGATGCGTCAATGACTAAATAATAAAACCAGTTGACACACTGACACGAGGTTGCCGATCGATCGCCCCAGCAAGTGAATGAAGAAGTGGGGAACGTTTTCAAACAAAGTTGATTTCATGGAAACGTTGATATCTTGAGTGGTATGTAGAACGTTCTTTTGACTTCTTCTGTATTCAATCGTTGGCACAACAATAAAATTGTGAAGTTGTGTGGGATATCATGTCCGCGAGGCGAAAAACCTGTGTACAGTAGCGCACAGCGGTTTAATACTTATTCTATAAATCTGCGATCAGTCGGTTTTTTTTTTCCATTTTACAGCATAGATGTCTTCTGCACTCTCAGCCGTCTGTTCAGTTTGGGTTGTATTCGGGCTTTCGTTTGCTTTGCGCTCGTTGGGCGGTTCATGTTTATGTTTGCGCGGGGATCGCCTGACTGTTATCTATACTTGATCGGTTGCGTTAAGTTCAGGCGTTTATTTTCTTTGCGCTCGTTTCACTGTTCACAGTTTGTTCATTCTCTTTATTACTCGGGCTTCCGTAGGAAAGCCCGAGTCATAAAATACAAGTCGTTGTTGGTCGCCAAAACGTGGGTCATGGTCCCAGCCGTTCCAGGCGTATTGTCGACCCCAAAGCCCTGTTTGCTCCTCTTAGCCGGCAGTGCCTTGGCACGAGAATCGAGGGCTCTGGAGACATAGGATTTTCCACTCCTAGATTCTTGGACTTCCGGCCTTTATCTATGAAGTAGTAATGTCTCTAAATACTGTATGGGATTGTCAATGGCGGCCATCGAGCAAGGATTCGACAAATCTTTGTGTCAAGCCTTAAGTGGTATCAATTTAGAGAATGTTTCCCTCCATGCTGAGCAGAAACAGGCGATAAGAAACATTATTTTTTTAAAGAAAGACACCAATTTTTCATCTCCTTGGGCAAGTCATGCGTTTTCCAGTTATCACCCTTTGCTTTTGACTCTTGGCATTCACCTTAATCACAGTCCGCCATGTTGGATGAACGTCACCATTTTTCCCATGAAAGCGAGGCCACGCGCGTTAGAGCATCATGGCTGAGTCAGTGAGTAATCGCTTTCTTCAGAGTTTTGGCGCCGCAATCTGGTGGACATACCGTCGTTCACAAACCCCTTTATCGAAATTTAAAGAAATATCGAGAACAATATTTGCCTGTGACAGTGTATATGGGCTCGGGGAAGTCTACAACAACAGGAGAGGATGACAGTTCCGGTTGGACCTCCATAGAATTTTCCTCACCAGAAGCTTGGCCGGAAGTTGATGCTGTGGATTAAAATGAAAAACATAAAAATACCTCTGATTATTTTACGATTTTAACCAAGGAATGTTTAAAGAAATATCGACAACAATATTTACCTGCGACAGTGACTGGGGACGATGGCACGCTTACATCAAATAATCGCACTCGTGCACGCGGTGGTTCCCGCTTTTTCAAAGATTTTCTTTTCCTCGGCGATCTTGACCACCAAAAAATACTCGGAACTGCGTGCTTCTGCAGAGCATGCTTCCCTGTTAAAGTTGTCTTAAAATTCGCCTTCTTAAAGTGTACAGAACATACTCTTGTGCTGTTTGTTATCTGTAGATGGACCAGATTATAATAATTAATGTACAAACATGTGCGCAACATTGACATCCATAACCTAACCAACTTACCCGGACACTTTTGCCAACGTCTCGCCGAATTTTGAAAACCCACTGCTTTCGAATGGATTCATCACTCGGAAATTGGTGAAAGGTGAGATTTGGAATATTTTTAACGCGATTATTTTGACATTGCGGCACAAAACGGTGATCTCTGTTGGGTATGATTGCAGATGATCGCCTTGTGTTCTCGATCGTCGGAAGTTGACCNGCCTAATGCAGCAAAAATGTGAAATTATTAATTGATACATAGCACATTTCATGATCCTGCAATTCCATACGGATTTAATTTGCAAAAGAGGCTGTTCAAAGTCCTGTATGAACAGGTTTGCTTGCTATGTAAGTGAAGGATGGAAACTGAAATAATTGAACATTCTCAAAACTACTGGCTGAACTTACCTGATGAAGAGCTTTGTTCAGCTTCTTGGCCTTGTGCCATATATCAAGCAAATGGAATAGCTCCATCAGTTGGGGAAACTTTTCTGTTAACATCAAAAGAAAAATAAACATTAGAACAAACTTTTCCACATACTGTAACCCATGAATAACTCTTGCTATGTCTAAGTGGTCAAGCTCACCATAGATCTAAAAATATTAAACCTGAAATTAATTAAACGATTTATTGGTATTTGTTTTTTCCTCTTATATTTGTAAATCTGAGAGAGCACAAAATAAAGATTTTTGTCATCAACTGTTGCAAAGGTTAACTAGTGTAAAAATAGGGTCACATATCAAATAAGAATACACTAAAATCATGTTGCATTGTTTTTGAGTATTTGTGAGAATTTTTTTTTCCCCTCAGGTAGGGTTTTATGGATCTCACTGTTATATATGAAAAATTGAGGCCAGCAAATGGACCTCCCCTAGAGACAACCACTTGGGTTTTGGCAAACAAAATTTTATCATTGATTTACACACCTTCTAAATTCCTGACAAGTTTGATGATTGTTGGGGAGGCATCTGTTGTTATTTTGTCAAATGGAAATATGGTTGCCATTCTCTCCAGTAACCTTCTCAGTGCCTCTTTTTCCATTCCAGTGGAGTTGCCTCCAGTCTCTCTTTTGTCTATGACTTCAAAGTTGACTACAATGTTGGTGAATTGCTCCATGAGGGTGTAAACGCAGTAGCGGGCACTGTGACCTGGAGAGTCNTTATTAATTGATACATAGCACATTTCATGATCCTGCAATTCCATACAGATTTAATTTGCAAAAGAGGCTGTTCAAAGTCCTGTATGACCTGTTTCGCTTGCTATGTAAGTGAAGGATGGAAAATGAAAAAACTGAACATTCCCAAAACTACTGGCTGAACTTACCTGATGAAAAGCTTTCTTCAGCGAATGGAATAGCTCCATCTGTTGGGGAAACTTTTCTGTCAGCATCAAAAGAATAATAAACATTAGAACAAACTTTTCCACATAAACCATGAATAACTCTTGCTATGTCTAAGTGGTCATGTTCACCATAGATCTAAAAATATTAAACCTAAAATTATTTAATCGATTTATTGGTATTTGTTTTTTCTTCTTATATTTGAAAATACGAGAGAGCACAAAATAAAGATTTGTTGTCGTCAACTGTTGAAGAAGCTAACTAGTAAAAAAACTGGCATGTATCAAATAAGAATACACTAAAATCATGTTGTACTGTATTTGAGAATTTTTGGGTTTTTTTTTTTTCTCAGGTAAGGTTTTATGGATTCCACTGTTATATATGAAAAATTGAGGTCAGCTAATTGACCTCCTTTAGAGACAACCACTTAAGCTTTGGCAAACAAAAATTTAACCATTGATTTACACACCTTTTAAATCCCTGACAAGTTTGATGATTATTGGGGAGGCATCTGTTGTTACATCGTCGAATGGAAATATGGTTGCCATTCTCTCCAGTAACCTTCTCAGTGCCTCTTTTTCCATTCCAGTGGAATTGCCCCCAGTCTCTCTTTTGTCTCTTACTTCAGAGTCGACTACAATGTCGGTGAATTGCTCCATGGGGGTGTAAATGCGGTAGCAGGCACTGTGAGCTGGGGAGTCATTTCGCCAATCTCCATCAATACCTCCTCCACCACTGGCGCAGCACAGTGCTTCTGGAAACGCATTAATATGTTTCTTCCCACTATATTTAGGCCAAGGGCTTTACAAAGCAGGCTGACTTTCTCGTAGTTGTTGCCCAAGATGATAATCCCTGCAGGCAAAAAGGAATCATTTAGGTAAATTGATTCCTTTTTTGAGTAAGCACCTTGGAGTACACCCACTTTTTGCTGTGGCCATTGGTACATTTTGAGAGCAACTCCAGATTCCCACTACCAGTCTTGGTCTCATGGGTCAATGGGCCACTGCACACATGCCCATCAGTCTCCACTGTGCAGTTAAACCCAGCCAGCTCCAGTAGTTTTTCCGCTGAAACAATGGAGCTACTTCTTTCATGAAGAACTGCAAATTCTTTTAATTCATTACCAATGTTTGTCAGTTTGGCCAATCAATTTTCTAAGTCAAGTAACAGCTTCTCCCTGTTGTCAATAACTTTCTTAGAAGTAGATGGCTCTTCATTTGGTGCTGACTCAATGGCTATACCACAATCTCTTGGAGCTTGTACATCATCATCCACAATAACAGCTTCCTCCTCAGTAAGAGGTTGTAAAGTTGGTAAGGACATTTGCGACACGCTGACGATATCTTCCACCATGGTGATTGTACACTCATCATCCTCAACACTTATCTCCATGACTTCACAAACCAACTTGGTTTCATCATCATTGTCAAGTTCCAATTCATGACTGTAAGCAAATGAAGAAAAAAGCAAATTGTGTAACTTGTTTGTAGAAACCCTTCCTCATTCCTACATTCATAATTTACAGTAGCTGTTTTGATTTGCTCTTAACTACTACCCGAAAAAACGAAAACTTCTTTAACAATTTAAAATACTGACAGTAGGTATAATAGAGAGTTCAGCAAAATAGCAACTGCACTTTTCTACAATTGCATCCTACCAAAGAAAATAAAAATGGACATGAACATAGATCAAGGCACAATTTTAGGCAAAACAACATCATCAACAACAATAGTTTATCTGTATCTCAAATAAACATAAGTATTACGGTATATAATGTATTTGACTGAAAATAGGTAACAGGCCATCAAAAACAACAAGTGATGGTTTACTCTGTTTCCAGCCAAAATATAGCCGTACCTGTTTGTTAAATGCTGATCTCCACTAAACACACCAAAGCTGTCAGTGCTACTTGTGGAGTTGTCAGAACCAACTCAGGCAGCATAATCACCATCATCATCATCATCATTATTGTCTCCGTCTTGTCGCAACACGGAAAAGGGATTTCCAACAACTGTGCCAAAGGAGATGTTTGCTCCCCGCAACTGAACACTCTGCATGGGTGCACATTCATCAACAGAGGTCACACCTGTTACATCAACTTTCCTAGAGACAAGACAAAATTTGTTACTATGTACTAACATGAAAATATTGCAACTGTTTATTTGGAAATAATCAACACACCAGTAGCAACCAAGCTTAGAACATTACTTATTATATAGCTAGCTCTGTGAGTGGGCAAGATGAACCAAATCCTGCACTGTGATTGGCAAACTGAGCAGGCAAGATAGACCTATCTTACCTGCTCAGGACTACCCGCCACGTCCCGCAAGAAAAATTTCCCCAAAAGCCACCTAATAAATCCTGTTTTTTTTTCTTTGTTTGGTAAAGATCGCTTCATATTGAACTCATTCATTTTTTTGAGGGTTAATGGACCTCGACTCTGTCTCGGTCCATACACACAAAAAAAAGAACTTGGCCAATATCCAGCCATCTTGACTTGACACTTGGTCAATAGCCCATATATATTTTATAGTAAACCAATAAGCTTATAAAAATAATAACTCAAACAATTCGACGAGTCACTCTAGCCTTCTTTAGTCCATACTTTCACGACAACATTTATACAAAAAAAAAAGCTTTAGCAAAATGACCTTATATGTAAAAAGAGACGGACTTACGAGTTTGAGAGGCTTGGAGAATCAAGAGGACGCTCCCGACGAGGCATCAGGAA